GACTCTCGACGGCCGTTGTCCTGGCCGCGTATCTACTAGGCTGCGTCCGCTGTCTTCACCACTACAGTAGCCGAGACGCTCCCTCCCTGCCCCTACCACAGCATAATCACAGAATTCTGCTGATCGGTCCGGGACCCACCTACCCCAAACCCAACGTTAGGCGCCACCACTTATGGATGCACCTTAGTCGTTGACTGCTCCTTCTCTTGCTCTTCTCTGCGCATCTGCGCCCTGCAACACTTTGACCCCTACGCGGATTTTCGTTACGAGTCGATCCGCCACACTCGTCGTGCCGCACCAATCACATAGCCACCCCACGACCCAGGCATTTCCTATTTGATCCCTGTACACTAGTTCCGCCATACTCGAGCCCGCTCGATCACGCTCGATTCCCACCCCGTTGCCACTAGTGCTCTAATAATCTACGACACACCAAGTCCTCTCTGGCCCGCGCTGTTCGAGAGTTGGTCGCTACACCACACCGCCCAGTCCACGCGCTCACGCCCTCCTACATGAGCGACTTGAGAGAACGTCTCGCGCGATTGGGACTGTCCCAGTACCACGAAGTGTTCACAGCCGAAGGCTTCGACACTTGGGAGACTGTGCTCGACATTACAGAATCAGACTTGTGCGCAATGGCTCCACCCCTACCTACCCACGCCGCCCCTGCTTACTGTTCCGTAGAAGTTCCCTCAACGTCAAGCTTGGCCATCGTCGGGTACGTCACTATTCTGCGACGTTACCACCAGCAACAACTGACCTCCTCGTAGAAACTTCAACGGGCCATCGCCGAATCGCGCGGACAGTCTTCGGATAGGCCTCTGCCCATCAATCTTGCACGAGCTGGGAGCACTGCCGGCTCGTATCGCAGTGACGACTCGGGGCCAGAAAGCAAAAGCAAGCAGCCAGAGCCCACCAATACTGCACCGAATGGAACAGGGGCCAAGCGGAAGTACCGTCGACATCCCAAGGTAGCCCACTCTGCAGATCCCGTCTGTCGTGCAACATCGCTAACCCAACGTAGCCTGATGAACATGCACCAGAACGTCCACCCTCTGCTTACGTCATATTCTCCAATCGTAAGTCTGATCTCTGACCCAACGCGATCACGACTAATTCGCAGCAGAGGTACGAGAATCACTCAAGGGACAAGATCTTACCTTCACCGAGATTGCCAAGGTAGTCGGTGAGAAATGGCAAGTCTTGCCTGCCGAGGAACGCGAAGGTTGTGAACGACAGGCCAATGGTGCCAAAGAGAAGTACTATGCAGAGCTGGCTGAGTACAAAAAGACGCCCCATTTCGAGGCGTACCAAAAGTATCTCGAGGATTTCAAGTCGAAGCACTCAGTGCCCACTAAAGGTCTGTCCACAGCTTCTGTTGTCATGTGCCGCAATGTATTGACATGTGCAGAAGGCAAACGCTCAAAGCTTGAAACCGAAACCAGCACTTCAACACGAGGAGGTAGCAATGAACAGGCCGACCCACCGGCAAACAGGAGATTGAGTTCTATTCAGTCCGATGCCCAAGCAGCATTACAACAAAAACCGGATCCCACTCAACCAATCCCCCCTTCACGGCTACCACCTGGCCCAATCTACGCTTCGAACTCGACATCGCCGGCCAATATTCCCCTTTCTGGCTTCAACTCCCCCCGTTCGGGCGAACAATTCTCCCCCACATCTGCATCTCCACGGACCACGGTCTTGCAAAGAGATGGCGGTGTCTATGACCCATCCGTACCCAATTCCATTCGAGACACGAGGATCCCCTTCGATGCCAATCCGTACCATCAGCCTTCTGCGTACAACCTGGACCTCCACCAAAAGATTGCATCGACTCCACCACCTCCATATCCCCACCCAAATCACTTTCAGGGGCCAAACGACATGCTTTCTCGTCGGACTCCGCGCGACTCCTCGCGTCTCCCCCCGCTCAGTCACGAAGATACGACGTTGTCGTCCGAGAGTGGTCACAGCAATCAAGGATCTCAAGGGTACACCTTGTCGGCTTATCCTGGGCAGACATTACCTGCAGACCCGAGTAAGACGATGCGCATGCTTCCCCAGCCAGTGCCCAGTATAGCACCCCTAGCCTCGCCACTGGATCGGCCGATACCGCCCATGCCATCACACCTCTCGCATAATCCCCATGACTATCGCAATCAGGGGTCACTTGCGGTCCTCGTAAGAGCAGGAGAACTGGCATCAAGAGCAGCGGACGACGACATGGTCGAGACCGAAAACTCACCTTGATTCTTTTTTTGAACGCTATACCAATGTTACAGTACATGATTCGGCATGAGCAGTCCGCATGGCCCGTTCCAGTGGGCAGTGCATACCGTATGCGACCACAAGCTGTTTCGCTGCGAGACGTCAGTACCGACATGACTGCCATGCGTGTACCGCGCATCAGCCATATGAGCACGCGCGGGGACGCTTTACGTTTTCATTTGTTGTTTGCTATTTCGAGATGATACCCCAACGCAACCAGTCCACTTATCGGCCTATCGAATACCAAGTGATTATACAGAGGATGGATCCCTACCTCAAGGATTGAAGTGTTGGAGATGAACTACGGGCCCTTCTAAGTCCGCAACGCACGCGCCGTTCGGATGAAATGTACGTGCATACAGAGAGCCTGTCCTGGCATGGTAGATTTCACGAAGGCTCAGCCTCCACGGTTTATGCCGTGAGGAGCACTAGTCTCTGCATGTGGAGCGTGTGTGCAAGGACAAAGAAGACGTGTAGGATGTACATAGGAAATCTAGATCTATTCGCTTGAATGACACTGCCTAATCATTTGGAACACTTGGATATGTGCACCTGGTCTAAACGGCAGTCTGGATTATTCCGTCAACTGCATGATGTGGTGTGATTGGCAGCCAGTCTTGTCTGGGATCAAGAAGCGCATCCGTCGTGCAAGGCGGTAACAATGTTCGCATACGGCGGATTCAATAGCGCCCAATGGAAAGCATGCACCCGATAGCAGCTAACTCGCTAATGCTGCCTGCAACTAGAGCTAGGAGTACAGTACACATGCGTAAGTGGATCTTCCTCGGTCAATTGGCCCGAGCGACATCGAGATCATGTGCTTGGCGTGGCGTGTTGAGTGGATTTTGGGGGATTTATCCATGTCTGCCAACATCGAGGATTTGGCATGCTAGTCTGGCACCGCATGGCCAGGGTTTGAGAAAACCCACAGCAATCACGTGGCAGATGCTACGATGTCCCGCGACGATACAAATCGTCGGTATTTTATGCCGGCGCGCTCGCAGATCGACGGCAAGCCGAGTCAATGGAGTAAGCCCACCCACACACACCACAAGCCTCCCGACATGGCAGGCAGCAGGACCCCCAATCTGCAATAAGAGCAAGTCCCACAAACGCATTTGTCGATGTTCGTTCGCAAGGGCGCTCGCTCGGATACAGGGTCGATCACCAGGACCCTAGTCTGTCCATCTGCCGCGTACAGCGCTCTGCATGGCCCCCGCGGCATTAGCCCTTCCTCGGAGTAAGACAAAGCATCTTGCGATATTCCACAATGAGAAAACAGCTGATTATGTGTTGCGTGATTCTCGCATCCGCATGCATCCTGACATGATAAAATTAGCATTTCGGCACGTCGTTTCGAAAGGGCAAAGATAAACCGCAAGGGTGTACTAGACATCTGTGCATTATGCAGGTGCTGTGGAGTAAACAAGTTGCAGCTCGACTGACCAGTCAAAGTTAGTCGAGCCAAATATTTGGAACGAGGGATCATGCCATTGCCGCGAAAGAGGGTCCTGCAGACACAGACGTTGGCTGTGGGCTCCGTGGAGTAGTTGTTCTGATCATTATGACGTCCGCGGAGCGTGAACAGGACAGGTCGGCAGCCGAGTTGGTCTGGATCGGCATGCTGGACTGGAAATCGGCCCGCGTCTACACACTTTCTTCATTTTGCTCTCATCTTGATGATATGGTTACATCAACTGGCATAGGGTTGCTTTTCTTGCTTCACGTGTTGATTGTGTAGGTATGCTTGGACCGCTGTCCCGAACTCGTGCATCGCTGCAGGTTTCCAGATTCTGCAGCTGATCACACCCAGAGGCATCAAAGGCATGTCGAGGAAGACTCGCTTCGGTACCTGGGTTCACACACCACTCTAATGTGTCGGGTTCGCAGGAGTTGACCTTCTCGACGCTGTACCCGACGTACCTAGGCCCTCTACAAGCGCTTGTGATACTCTACGAGTACAAGGAAGACTCTCAGAGCACCAGGTAGCAGTGTTCTTGTGCTACTAGCGTAGATAGAAAGGAGGACCCGTCGTACTTCTTGATTTGCTGAGCACTGGACCCGTAACTTGCGTGTCACTGGCATGTATTTCGTAAAACGCGAAGCCCAATTTTCATCCTAGTTTCGAGTTACGTGCAACCAGATTTCGTATTTCTTTCAGCTACTATGTAGTTCATGGCAAACGCTTCTAAGGTTGCTGCTTCAGCTAGCACATCGTAGTGTCACACAGGCAGGAACGAGCCAATCAGGGCCATATTTACCCTTGTCGATCTCCCGTTCCAGTGCAACGACTCCATCTCTATCATCACGTCCACCATCAGACTTCTGCTTGGCATTCATCGATTTGCCTCTATACTGCACTAAAATCTCTGTGCACATACTTCTAGGCAGTTCCAGACCATCGCTGTACATCCCGAGGTCTGAATTTGGCGTGCCAGACCAGTCACACGGATCACATTCGCCACATATCTTCCTTGCAAGAAGCCTGTGGCTTCCCGAAATATGTACGTAAAAAGGCGCCGTGACTGGGGTGTAACAATGCTAACTACTGTGTTGGTAGCCGGGTCACCTACTCGCTGTCCTACACTAGTTCTTGCATTGCAGTGGTCTAGACCTTCGACGCACCTGTTCTGTCAGCCACCAAGCAGCTATAGCTATCCCGCTTCGATTACCTGTTGTAGCTCATTGCATATTTCCAAGACTTCCGCTCCGCTACTTGGATCGCCACCATGACTGAGCCCGTCGAAGTCAGAGATTCCGCTCAGTCCAAGCCAGTGCAACCCCCAAACAATCTTGGCCAGGAAGTTGATACAAATCCGACACCTGGAAACACCACTACCTCTCCCACATCAGGACCAGCACGCAAATACCTGACCTTGAAGCCCCTGAAGAGGCTCGATCTGCCTCATCACCCGTCATATGATAATACTAGTTCAGATTATCATGTCACTCTAGCCGAGTTCCTCGACGATGTGCTCAACGAGGTACAAGGAATCAACTTCGATGAAAAGTTCGAGAAGCGGGGAACCTGGAGCCCCGACAATGGACATGTGATGATGCCGCCGCTTGATGCTACGGGAAGCAGCGATATGATTCCCGTTCCAGTCTCTGTCGAGAAGCGCATCAAAGACTTGAACCAAGCCAGTTGGATGGCTAGAACCTCTACCCACAGCAACGCTCATGTCAAGTTCTCAGAATTGGGAGATCTTTTGGCCAAAGATCACAGCCGTAACGAAGCTGCATATACCCCGAGTGTTTTCGATGCGGTTGAGCTACTGAGATGGGATCCTGAAGAAGCGTTGAGAGCTGTGAATCACCACAAGGAGGTTCATAGCGTGGAAATGTTCAGTGAGCGCCCTCTTGCGTACGTTACAATACAGTCTGCCGTTGCTGACACATCTTAGTATCGCAAATGTTCCACATGATGCCCAAGGTTGCCGGGCTGAGTCTACTACAAGATCGCGTATTTCATGCGTTAGTAGTCACCATGAACAAGTACGAAGGAGAACGCCCCTCCGAGCTCGCTTCGTCCTTTACTGTTCAGCTTCCAATCGATTATGCATCATTTGGCGATGTCAAGATCATGCAAGAGAGGAGTCGGATGGAAACGAAAGGATCTTCGCAACTCTACCGGTTTCCTTCGGACACAGGGTCAGGCGCAACACCTGACGCGAACCAGAAGCAGCGACAGGGAAAGAAGCTGACAGAAGGAACCTACGTCTCGTTGGAGAGGCTGATTGGCGCATCGAAAACACGTGTCGATGAGGATGCTGCGCAGCAAGCAGATTCGCCCGATAGCGACCGTCATCGTTGGGATATGGTAAGTTTCATATTCTGCATTCAAGTTTGATGTTGTTGACATGGCGCAGATGACGTTGAGTACGGCGGGGGGCATGACGAAAAAGGCACCAAAGGGCATCCAGCAGAAGGAAACATTAGAGGCGATCGCAATGGACGTGGAGTATGTTCTGTCGTATATCGCGGATCAAAGACGGAAGAGCAAGACTTGAATGGCGATGATCGTTGTGAAGGAACCATGTCACATGAGGCAAGGCGAAGCCCGGGCGGGGACGAACCGCGGCGTGCAGATCATCGCGTGGCTGTGACACCATTCCACTTTCTGCACACTTGGACTTCAGCTTTCAGCCTTACGCTGGGTAGACGAGGCCCAGTTTGATGTATCTCAGTATCGCCTTTTTGTACTTAATACCTTCATCAATGTCATCCGATACATCGCAATTGCCTCCGTGATCGCATTCCAGCGCGTGCCGTCCATGTGCATGTCACACTCGTGGAGAGCCTATTAATACACACAGGCACTTCAGCTGGCATCTCGAGCCCACACTCCCGACGGACACGATCCGCTATCTCGCGCGACACATGTATTCGTCGATAACGCGACAAGAAACCACACGATGCAGAACTACGGGCAAGCACCAGGATACCAGCGGCCAGGCAGCACGACGGGCTTCACAGGCCAGCAGGGCGCTCCTCCACCAGTCCCGCCACCCCCGCCTGGATATGGAGGTATGTTGATCCATATAACTATCTGGTCCCAGATCGAGGCACTGATACGATGGTACAGCTTCCCAGGGATACCAAACGTCCGCTCCCCCAGCCCACGGTCAATGGGCTGCGCCCACGCCGACACACACGTCGAATCCATGGAATCAATCGCAACAGCAGGTAGCCGTAGGATATAATCCGGGCACGTATGGCACCATGCCGGGGGCGCAGCATCAATCATATCCTCCTCAGCAACAAGAGCAACCACCCCCGCCTCCACCCAAACCCTACGGCTTCGCAGCGGCGGTCCAACGGCACGAACAGCAACAGCAGCAGCAGCAGAACTGGTCACAGCAATCGCAACCAGGCAACGGCTTTGCGCCTCATACGCAGCAGGGCGGATATCCGGTGCAAGCAACACCACAACAGCCATATCACCACGCAGCCCCTCCCCCGCCTTCAACCACTCCGGGCGCAACATACTTCCAGTCTTCGCAGGGAGCGAGACCCAGCTCCATTTATGGGGCAGGCCATGTTAGCTCATACCCACCAGTAGGGTCACAGCAACCCACTGCAGTTAACAACCAGAGCGCGCAGCAGCCGGCATACACACAACAGGGTACACAAGCGTACCCGTCTTTGAACACAAACCCAGCAGCCGGCGCATACATTTCTCCCCCACCAGAAGCTCCTTCGTGGCAGCAGACACAGCATGCGCCACCTCAAGGCGGCATGGCCAACTACACCCATACTACACCACATACAGACACAAACACATATGCACATGGACATCATGGTCTACAGCAGCAGCAACCTCCGCCTCTACCTCCACGGCATGGCCAACAGGTTGTTCCTCCACAAAACCATCACCAATCTCAGTATGGTCATTCCACGCCCGTCCAATACAATCCGCAATCGCAGATACCCAACCAGCATCAGCAGCCGTCGGATCAATTCCCACAACCGCAGCAGCATCAATATCAGCAACCTTCGGTTGGGCATCCTTCATATTCCCCAGCGCCGTCGCAGCAACCACCTACACAGACAATATATGAACAGTCTCTGTACGACCAACAAGCGCAGCCTTCTCCACAACATCCTCGCCCTCAGGACTCATGGCAGTCTGGATCTCCAACCCCAGAGCCTAATTATCAATACAATAGACCGCAGACATACGAGTCTCAGCTACCACCCCCGCAAACAGGGTACCAAGCGCAAGAACCAGTTCCACCGCAGCAATATTCCCAGATCTCGAACCAGGAGGGCCAAGAAACAAAGCCTTACAATCGAATCGATACTGCTGGGTCAAACTTCTACCATCAACCAAGCCCGCAGAGTCAGCCTGTGTCTCCGATATCGAATCGGCCTAGTGTGAGCTCCGCCTCTGGCTACCAGCCTATCTCTGGGCGCACCGACTCAGTGAGCTCGATAGCTTTGGCCAATCTCTATGCACAACGCGCAGAGAATAAGACATCCTCACCAAAACCTCTCGGACAGAAGCTACCCGCGTCACCTCCACCTAGAGATGACAAGTCCAAGTTTAGTGTTCTGGCTGCCGGTGCACCTTCTGATTGGGAACACCTAGGTGGCAGTGAGGAAATTGACGATGAAGAACTCTTCGGTGCAAAGAAAGAAGATAAGAAAAGCGACAGTACTCAACCGGAAAGCATCGAGCTGCCCGCTCACGTTCCGTCTCCCCCATCGACGCATGGGTTCCCCAGTCCTGCTGTGCGTCCTGCACACGTGAGTTCGAGCGAATGGGATGAAGGTTTTACACCTACACCGCCGTCTGTGGCAACAGGACTTGCTGGACGTCAAGATTCCCAGTCATCAGATCAAGGGTTCATCGTCGGAGATGCAATTGTCGCGCCCTTACGTACTACTCCCAAACCCATACAAGACACGAGACCCCCTCATCAGCCTGCTGCGTTGATGATTGGGTCGGGCTCCGCAGAGGGCGGATGGGATACGTCGCAACACACCCCTACCCAACCGAAGCATCTATTTGGGTCACAAACCAGTAATGAATCCACCGGCGTGGTGTCCTCCAGCTACGACTATGCTATAGAACTGAAAGAGAAGGACGACCTTATCAACCAATTACGCGCAGATATGGAACGGGAGAAGAAGGAGAAGGATGATGTTCTCCAACAGTTACACACAGATACAGAACGGGACAAGGCCGTACTACAAGCAAAGATTGATGAACTTGGAGCTAGCAGCCTGAAAGTCGTGTCTGAGTACGAAGCTAAGAAAGCTCACAGCACGAGCGAGATGGACGTGTTACGTGCACAGATTGAGACTATGAGAGTCACCACAGACCAAGCTAGTGTCAATTATGACGCTATGGTGAAGGAGAAGAACACGGCGATTGACATTTTGAAAGAAGATGTGGAAGGCAAGGAGCACAATATTGAGGAGCGTGATAGTTCTGTCGCTGAACTAAAGCGCCAGCTTGAAGCCGAAAAGGCGAAAGAACCGCCGAAACCCACAGCTGCTGATCTGATACCGGACCTTGATCCGTGGTATATCGGCTCGTTAGAGCGATACATAGCCATGCTTCGTAGTGAGGCCGCGGAACCGCAAGTCGAGGAGAAGGTCAAGATTTTCAAGGCGTTCATGAAAGTCGAGTCTGCCATGCGGGCCATCGTCTCCCTTGATACCTCAACACAAACAGTTCCAGTGGACCCAGAGGTACCACACCAACCAGAGCAAGCTGCTCGCTCTCGTGCAACCTCAAACATCTCCACTAAGAGACAGGATCTGAACATCAAGGTACCGCAGGAGTCCGAATTTGACGACTTTGAATATAGTCCTGGTGGTCGACCTATCTTGGCGCGCCAAACTACGATTCCGCCTACTGAAAACTACCAGGGTGTTCCAAGAGCGCCTCCTTCAGTGCAATCAACAACGATCCTAACTCCGACAAGCTCCATTGATGATGATACGAACAAGACGCCAGTGCAATCTCCACCTGAAGAGCAGGTGCAACACCAATACAAGGCATATGTCCCACCTGCTAGTATATCGGTTGACCCTGCTCCATTGAGACACAGACCAACAATGTCCTTCTCCAATACGCCAGGAGTAACTTCACCGTCAGGCCGTAGCAACAGTAAGGGGCACGATGAGATATTCTTTGGAGCTCATCAACCGACTGCTCAGACGCCTGCCTCCCGGCCTCCCAGTAGCGATGCAGATGTCCCTTTGCCAGCACCATTGAAGCTGACATCGCGCCGCCCGATCTCAACTGCACCAACGAAAGAAGATCCGAACAGAGTGCTGAAGGAACTAGTATCTAAGAAGGTGCATTCCGGCCTTCCAAATCACCGGATTCAGGATATGAGGGCTAGGCTCGTTGACATAGGATCCAAAGCCAGCGCCGCCGAAGAAATTACGAAGACATGGGAGAGATCTGCATCTCTGAGTCGCCGCAAGAAGGACGACGCCCGCCGCAAGCGTCAAGAAGAAAACGAGGAGCACAACGATGATCTATTCAACAACAACGAGATCTCATACGCGGAGATGAATCAGCTCGAGGAAGAGTTCAAGCAGAAGGAGGGAGAGCTCAAAGCGCAAGAGGACAAAGAGGAATATCGTGACTATGTGGAAACCGTATTCGACCCCATCTTCACCGGGCTACATGGCGAGATTAAAGCGTTGATGGACTTGCACGTCGAAGCTAAGCGCCTGCTATCGTCTTCCGTCGCAGGAGTTAAGAGCATGGAAGGAATCGATACTTCAAGCACAAAGGACTGTTTTGAGCTCCTGAGAGACATCCATGAGCAAGTGGAAAAGAGACACGACGATGTCGTACAACTCGTTGCCGAACGCGACAGACGCTACAAGAAGACGGAGACGCAACCTCTGTACGCCGCGGGCAACATCAGCCAGATGAAAACCGTGGAGAAACACTACGACAACGCTGAGAAGCAAGCCACATTCAAAGCCAAGCGCGAGAAGGCTGAGCGTGTAGGCGAGCTTGTCCGCCTTGTCGAGGACATGATTGTCAGTGCAGTCAGCACTGAGCAAAAAGGAATTGACCACATCGTTGCAGCTATCAAGGACCTTGAAGATGGCAGCGGTGATCCAGCGGTCCTCGATGATGCACGAACCGCTCTTAAGGCTCTGAAGGAATCGTCCAAGGCGCTCCTCTCCCTTTTCAACGCGCTGGAGATTGAATCCAATAACGCCGATATCGACGCGGAAATTGCGCAAGTGACAGCCAATAGTGCAGATCCAGCGCGCATACGCGAATTGGAGGCTGAGAAGAGGGAAGCAGAGAAGGACTTGGTGGAGGAGTTTCAAAGGAGGGTTAGTGTGCTGGATAGCGATGAGGCTGAAATCGGAGACTTGGTGCAGAGGAAGATGGGAAAGAGTAGCGAGGACGCAGAGAAGCAAAATCGATTACGAATGGCGTTGGAGGAAGCGAAGAGGCGGAATGGTCATGCTTGATGATGGTATAGTCTTATGTATTTACGAAATGTGGCATTTACGAAATGTG